GTAGTTATTTTCCTCATTTATTGATTGTAGATTTGTTTGTTTTATCCTGGTTTTTTGTTTTATTTGGTTATGTCTGCACAGGCAAGTTGTGCGTTCTTTGTTGTTTGCTCATCTGTGGGCACGATACTTTTCACCTCCTCAAATGGGCTGGGTCAGTCACTCAGATATGGTACAGCAGGTCAGGTCCAGCTGAAGGGGAGTTTCTGGAATGGGTTGTTTGTGGCATGTATGAGGGCCAAAAGGGTAAGCCAGGAATCAGTGCAGGGCAGGTTCTAGTAGGCCGTGCCTGTGCTGCTTGAGGGTGTGATGTTCAGCACATGGTGCAGGTAGGCAGGAAGGAGGGGGGATATTGTGATCTGTGGAGTGAAGATGAGTATGGGAAAGAGGAGAAAGAGGAGATAGGAACAGGACCCAAAAACATAACCCACAAACAAACAAAAAAGAGTGCTAAGGGAGCTTGCTGTTGGAGTGGAGAGATAAGAAACTGAGAAATGAAGAAAAACAAAAGGGGGAAAAAAAAAGAAAAACGGGAAAAGTAAAAATGAATAAATAAAAATTACAGAAGAAAGGAAAAGCCCCGAGGGATCCCACCAGTATGGCTGGTAGGACTGGGGAGGTTGCTCCCAGGCAGTGAAGTACAGCCTGGCTAGAAGGGGTAGAGGTGTCGCAGAACACCGGGTATTCAGGAGACAGGAAGAGAAAGTAAGTATAGAGAGGATAAACTGGAAATGAAGAAAGACAAAACGGGAAAAAGAGAAGAAGAAAACAAAACAAAAAAAGAAAAAAAACAAGAAAAAAGAAATACCCCCAGGGATGTCATTGTGCATCTGCACAGAGTAAGGAAGTAGCTCCCAAGCCACACAGCAACACCCAGCCAGAAGAGGCCCCCAAGCCAAGAAAAGAAAAAGAAACAAACAACTCAAAACAGAACAAATAAGAACAAACAAACAGAAAAATCCCTGGGGTTCCCTCCAGCATGGTGGCAGGGGCCGGGAACCAGTCCCGCAGTTGAGCAGTGCCTTGCAGCCTCTCAGGAAGAAGCGAAGATGGCACACTGAGCCAGGTATTTGAGAGAAAGGAGGGGGAGGTGGTGAGAGGTAAGGAAGAAATCTAAAGAAGCAGAAAAAAGCAACACCAGCAGCCAACAAATGGCATTCAGGGAGCTGGCCAGTGAGGGCAGGTGGATTCCAAGCAACACTGGGGTGAAGCCAGTGCTTCCCGGCCAAGAGACTGTGGCCACAGGAAGCAGAGGAGGCTGAGTTGGGGGTGAAGAAGGGTGGGGAGTGGGAAAGCATATATTGGTGGTTACTGATTGTTCTGTCTCTTGCTGGAAGTTCCGTGAAGCTGCTTTCTTGTACCCCCATTCACTGATCTCTGATAGGAATCCAGGAAGGCGGATCTGTGCTGCGTTAGCTGATAGGGGACCTCTGCATGTATCTCTCATTCTTCTCTGTTCTCAGTCAGTTTCTTATTCCATTCGGCAGTTAGCTGAGTTCTTCATCTCTTCATTTGATGCTTAGGGTTTCAGGATTGATGTGTGTCTCTGTTTACTTAATTTTTCTGATCTTTGCTGTGGAAGGATGGTGTGGTGCTTCTGTCTACAGCACCATGTTGCCCAGAAGCAGCCAGACAGCTTTTCTTAAGCATCTACCATGTTAGATCACATGGAGTAGAAAAGGAAACACGTTGTCCACACCTACCTTCAAAATGTTTCCTAATCTTGTGAGGAACTTATTGTTCATGCATGAAATTCAATTAAGATCAGTCAATCAGATGCTAAATTGACTATAATCAATATCACAGTACATGAGATAAACAGAGTGCCGCCGCCTGCACAGAGAGACAGACAGATTTACGAGAGGGGTCTCCTTACAAGAGGAGGAATTGGGGCAGGTCCTAAATCATCATTATACTGATGATAAAAATGCCATCTATTATATGGTTGCCATGGTAAACGCAGTGTTGACCAGTTGCTGTGGATTATTTCCTCTAATCCAAGTAACACCCCTATAATACACCTACTAGGCCTACACCCCTTCCATCATCACTTTATGAAATGGCAATGCCTAGGTAATTAGTGAGCAAACCTGCTCCAGTGTGCTCTAACCTGCTTGTTCACAGCTGGATTTGTAGGCCCGAAACCAATGCCTGGGGGTGCAAACAGTCGATGCACTCGGCTACAACGGAAAGGCTGGAGGTTCGAGTCCACTCAGAGGCACCTCAAAGAAAGACCTGGCAATCTACTTCCAAAATACCAGTCATTGAAAACCGCCTGGAGCACAGTCCTACTCTGACACACATGGGGTCACCTTGAGTCGGAATCAAGTCAACGGCAACTAGTTGGCTAATCCTGTGCCCAACACATCATATATGCTCAACGACTATTTACAGAAGGAAGAAGGGGAGGGGTGGGGAAGGGAAGGAGGATTAAATAAATCAAAGAATTTTAGAACTGTTTTGGGCCAGTGTGCTTTTGCTGTTGAAATTAAATGTAATTGACAGGCCGTGTCTGAGTGAGGAAGCCAAGGAAACCCTGAGAACTTGCAGAGGAAGGAAGGAAAAGGGGTTCTGGTGCCATACCCCAACCCAGTCATTTACCAGGCACAGATCCCAGGAGTGAACCATGGGCACAGTGACCCCACCACACCTGCTCCTATGTCAGACACTTTGACCAGGAAGCTTCTTAGTTTTGCCGAGAGAGCTTTCCTAGTCTCCACAGATACAGCAAGGAGCTGCTAACCCACAACCAAACTCGTTGCCGTCGAGTCAGTTCTGACTGTTAGGGGACGTTTTCTCAGTAGGATTTGAGATTTTCTGACCACAAAAACCAAACCACCCAGCCCATCGCCATCGAGTCAATTCTGACTCATAGTGACCCTGTAGGACACAGTAGACCTGCCCCATAGGGTTTCCAAGGAACCGCTGGTAGATTCAAACCACTGACCTTTTGATTAGAAGCCAAGCTCTTAACCAGTGCGCCACCAGCTGAAATGTCCACTCTGTGCGTCTGAAAACAGGTGCAGGCTAGGCGAGACAAAGGAAAGCTGTCAGGCTCAGCGTGGGAGCGGGAAGGAGACATGAGTGTTGGCTTCCAACACGAGCTGGATGCACTGCCGTTGAAGCACCTGTAACAAATAAAATGAGTCTGGACATTTTCTTCCCTATTCTTTCACCTGAAGGAAGATGAGAAATCACATGCTTTGGGAGGGAGATTTATACCAACTATGCAAAAAAAGAAAAAGAAAAAATTGGGTGTTTGTATGTGTGTATGAGAGAGAGAGATTTTCTTTGATCTCTTAGAATTTGGTTGATAACCCAACAAAACAGCCAATATTGGTGGTCTTTCAAAATAAAGTCCCTGACAATATCTAACAATAAGTATAAATTATTTTTTCAATGAGCGTGAGCCACACTGAACCAGACATTACATTTGTGTGACAAGGTGTTGGTTGTTTCAGTCTTGTCCCCAACTTCAAGGCCACACCAACAACTAAGTGTCTCTGTTGGTTCCGAAATGAAACTCACAGAATCAGAGCTGGGTCATGAGTCTCACTGTTGAGACAAGAACTCTCGTCCTAACACAAGGGTCCCCCAGCGCTGGCTCACCGGCCTCTGGGTGGTCCGGGCCCCTTGGGGAGCCAGCACTGGGCTGGGCTGATGTGGGCCTTTTGTTTCAGCCATCTACGAGCCATCCTGTGAGGCCTACAAGCACCTGGGCCAGACCTCCAACTACTACTGGATCGACCCCGACGGCAGCGGAGCCCTGGAGCCTCTGAGGGTCTACTGCAACATGACAGGTAAGCACCCAAACCTGCGTTTCCTGAAGAGGGGTTCTCTATGTGGAGCATGAGGGGTGCCTGCCACCTATGTTGGCTTTTTTCTGGGCCACGTTCTTATCACGTGAGCTACATGTTGCTGGGGTTGTTGGGAAAACAGTGAGATGCAGCTCTGAGGCAATGAAAGCTTCTGATGCTGGATTTACAAAAATGTCTCCCTTCTGACCTCAACAGTGAATGTGGAGCATTTAAAATACCAGTGCGTAGGAGAAAACCGAATGCCAGGTTGATGTCACTGGGTAACAGGAAGACCCATCCATCGAGTGGCCTCCACAGGTGGCCTAGATGGGGACACTGGTCTCCGTGCCAAGGGTTCCTAGTGCTGTGAGACGGTGCCTGTGACATCCCAGGACTGCCACTGCCCCCATAGCCACAGAGCTGCCTGGCCGTGGAAGCCCCATCCCAGCAACAGCAGAGATCACTGGCAGCTCCCTGAAAGTGTATCTGGGTGTTCTACTTGGTAAAGGATCTAGTTTTCTTCACCTCTGTATTAACTTCAGGGCTATGGAATGAGGTCTGGGTTCTTACAGGTCCCCAGAACATGGGAAAGATGTGCAGCTTCTAAGATAAGAGCAGGTTTTCCATCCGACGCTTGACAATGCCTTTCCCTCCAACAACCTGGAGCAGATGTGAGGTCTGCACGCTCGCTGTCTCCAGGAGAGACTGTACCTGCCAGGATGATGAGGCAGGTGGTGATAAGGGGACCGAGGACAGAATGCCCCTGGTGGCAACTGCTGCCTTTTACCATTTGCCGCGTGTCAGCACCTTGATGAATTCTTTACTCCCTCTACCCAGGATAGCATCCTGGCTCCATCAGTCACAGACGTGGCACCTTGGGCACCTTGCTACCGTGTTACTCTCAACAAGCCTCAGTGTCTTCGTCTGTGAAATAGGCTTCTGAATAATACTTACCCCGTAGCATTACTGTGAGGATGAAGGGAGGGAATCCACATATGGCCCTTAGCAGGTTGTCTGACACTTCCAGTAAAGGCTGCCCAGGAGGTAGGATCACTATTGTTATTTTAAGGCTTCCAGAGGGAAGTAACTTGTTCACAGCATTCAGGCAGGATTCACACTTACATCTCTTTGAGGCCAAAGAGTTTTTGTTTTATTGTGGTAAATATGTATAATAAATCATTTACCATGTCAACAGTCTTCACAGGTACAGTTCAGTGGCATTTGTTACGTTTATCATGTTCTTCCACCATTATCATGACATTTCCAGATTCTCCCTTCGCCTTTAACAGAAGCGGGGTGACCCCTAGGCAGTAAGCCCTCCTTTCCCTTCCCACTCACCCCTGGTGACCACTAATGACTTTGGTCTCTGTGTACCATTGCCTTATCTAGATACTTCATGGAAGTGGGATCACACAGCACTGTCCTTCTGTGATGACTTGTTTTACTCAGCGTGCATCAGGACTCCATTTCTCTTTATGATGGTGTAGCTTTCCATTGCATGGACATACCACGTTGTGTTCCCCTGCTTATCTGCTGATGGGCATTTATGCTCTTTGCACCTTTGGCTGTTGTGAACAGTGCTGCAGTGAGCAGTGGAGGGTGGGCCAATGGTTCTTAGCTCTGGCTGTGCTTCAGAATCATGTACGGAGCGTTGCTTTGTTTCTTACAAACGTGTTGGTTCCCCTGGAGATTTTGAGTTAGTAGTTCTGAAGCAGAAATAGAATTGTACGACTAGAAGGGAGAGCCCCAAACATTCTGTGGCAAGTGGATCCCAGCAGAGGACCCAGAACATCGGGATGACAGGCAGGGGGCAGAGCGAGAGGGAGAGTCAGCAGGACATGTGAGTGGTGAGGACAGCATGTGGAGAGGTGGTAGGATGGGGGTGCCACCCCCAAAGTCTCCTCCCATGGCAAGAGTTCTGAGCATGTCCCCCCACTTTCCAGAGAGCTTAGCCCAAGAACTCACTGATGTGGAACTTGTAAGGGCACGCAGGTCCTTGTGTGTGATCTTGATTTTAATCTTACCTGAACTAGACTATCAACTATAAGAACTTGATTAAAGACAACTCGTCTTAGTTTCTTAGTGCTGCTGTAACAGAAATACCACAAGTAGGTGGTTTTAAAGAAGATAAATGTATTTTCTCACCGGTTAGGAGGCTAAAAGTCCAAATTCAGGGCATTGGCTCTGGAGGAAAACCCTTGTCTCAGCTGCGCTACCGTTCTTTTCAACTCTCCGTGGAGATCTCTACATGGCATCTGTCTTCCCCCATTCGTGCTTGCTTCTCTAGGCCTAGTCTGCTCTCCTACATCTCAAACACCATTAGGTTTAAGACACACCCTACACTTATATGGCTCATGAACATAACAAGGAAAGCCCTATTCCCAAATAGGATTACATCCACAGATACAGGGGTTAGGGTCCTAACACATATTTTGCAGGACACAACTCAATCCATGAACACCACTCATCCTGATTCTGGTTTCTCCTAATGTATAAAAATAAATAGCACAATTAGAGTCATCTGTGAGCCCTAAGAGACATCAGGGCAGCTCATTTGGGCTTGGACAATTGAGTAAGTAATTATTTTCCTAACTCTCAAAGGAGAGTTAGAAAGATCAAAACATCTATGTATGCGATCCTCCTGTCAAGAACACATGCAGAAGAAGGGGCTGCTTTCCTCTGGGGACATCTTACCTTTCTGGGAGCAGGAGCCTTTGCTCAGAAACATAGATGCCATCTTCATCAGCGTCTCCCCTGAAGAGCGTGACTGTAGTTAACCCAGTACTCTGGATGAAGTCCAAGCAGTGAGGAGCACTGCTCACCTGCCGTTACAACATTTGGCTTCTATGCAGCAGAGACAGAAATGATGTCTGTGTGCTTGGCGACCCTTGAACAGTCCTTCCTCACAGGTTGGAGGGTAATTCTGGGCCCTTCCCCACCATCAGCCCTTCCTTCATCTGGAAGGAGCATGGGTTGACATCATTCAGAGAGCATGGCGCCACAAAGCATGACCTGGGCTATCCCATTTCCAGGAGGTCCTGGGATAGGAGGAGGGGATGCCAGCATGAGATACCCCATAACATCTTGATCTGTCACTCTACCGTGAGAAATCGTATGTACACCTAGCTTTATAACATTTCTGTGAAAAAATAAGAGTTGTTCTCGGTGACCCAGATGTAATTGGGTGTTATCAGTGTTGGATATCCCATATATTTTAAAAATAGGGGCAGGACATCTTTTTCTGGGAAAGAAGCAATGTCTTATTAGTGATCACCCTCCTTTCTTTCTTCCTACTAAGATGGGTGGGAGGGGGAGAGTTCTTCCCTTGTACAAATGTGGGGAAATTTCAAGAAAAGGAGCCTGAATGGCAGGCAGCTGATGCAAATTTGGATAGAAACTAAAAAACACTCTGCTGAAAATCACTCCTGAATGATGTCTTTTTCTAGGAGTCATAGGCTTTTAATTCACTTTCTAACTAAAAAAGAAAAAGAAAACAAACCAACCAAAAAACAAAGAAAACAAATTAAAAAACCATGAAAGACAGTTAATCAGCTTAGGGATTAGCAAGGAGAAGGGAGTCTCTCCTGATTTTTCTACAACAAATTCTCCAAATTAATCCTTTCCACACTGTTGTCAACTAATATTTCCAAGTTTTGTTTGCTGGTTTGACATTACCCAATAAGCTGACCTTCATCTTATCTTTATTACATTCCACATCGACCATCAGGGCAGAATTCAGGCTTGTCCCTGCTAGAGTGTTTCATGGTTGGATTCTGTCCAGAATTCCATCCTGTTGGTATCTCTTGCTTTCGGAAACCAAAGAGTGGGCAGTTACCTAGACTCAGGGGACCGGGACTGTCTTCCCCACTGTAACGCAGTGAAAAGATTCGTCTAAATTTGTGAGGGATAAGAATCAGGATCAGCACAAAGCTGATTCCTATGAGGTGGAGGTCAGAGCTTCTCTGCACAGGGACCCTGGGTCCAAAGGAAGCACTCCACTCCTGGCACTGCTTTCTTGATGGTATGAGGTCCCCCCGTCTCTGCTCACTTCTCTTTTATATCTCAAGAGATTGCCTCAGGATAAAATCCAGTCTTGTAGATTGAGTCCTGCCTTACTAATACAACTGCCACCCATCCTCCCTCATTACCATCACAGAGGCAGGATTTAAAACATATAGGAAAGTCACACAATACCAGGAATCATGGCCCAGCCAAATTGAGACACACATTTTTGGGGGGACATAATTCAGTCCATGACACTTTGTTATGGCATTTATTAGGGAGATAACAGGAACAACTCTGGATTAGGTTCAGGAAGCACACAGGGGAGGTCTGGAAGTCTCCCCTGAAGTGGAGATCACATCTTTACCTTCTTCAATGCAGGATAGCTTCTGACCAGGACAGCTCTCTCAGCTGCCCGCTGCTGTCAGGCTTCCCGCCATCGGGCCTCTCTGCTGCTCACGGGCCCAGCTCACAGCCAGTGTAGCAGCTTCAGGACTGCTCAGCTCCCACATGGCTCAGCCTCTCTGCCAGCCAGCACTCAGCCAGCATCTCTCTCAGCTGCAACTTTTTCAGCTAACCGACCCAGCTCTCAGGTGGCAGCTTTTTCAGCTACAGAGCTTTTCACCAGGCCTGGGAGGAGCCTCCTCTTCTTCTCCAAAGAACTAGGGCAAAGGTATCAACTCCTCAGGGCTTAGGAGAAGAATCTCTCAATCTGTTTTTGCAAAGAACCAAGGCAAAAGGCCACATAAGGGAGCTTATTGCCCCCAGCCATACAGGCTGCCCATGAGCTGAGTCTTGATGAACAAGTGAGAATCTGGGGCTGGGGAATGGGCTAAAGGGAAACTAGATTAACTTATAAGATTTCTCCTGTGGGATGCAAAGCACTTGCCATCTTGTCCTGAGGGAAAAGCAGGCCGTCGGTAATCTTAGCAGAAGAGCAATATGAGCAGTTTAGTCTTTAGATGTCACTTTGGGAGCTTGAAGAGGATTCTCCAAAGGAT